CCTGTGTCCAGCATTTTATTACGGAGATATATTTTGGAGTATTCAGAGATGCACCAAGCCTGAGATATGCCAGATGTTGAGTGTTGCTTGGGGGAAAGTAAAGAGGACCAAGGGTGGAGGGAGGTAGACTGTACCTGAGAAGGCTTATTTCATTTTGGTCACCGTTCCTAGACACGAAGAGCCCAATCCAAGGACTCTTACACATTAGGTACTCAGGGTTTCCTGATGCTTTCCTGGTGTCTGAGGCAGGGCGGATGGAGCAGAAAAGAACACTGAAGGTAGTGTGATCCCTAGAGAGGAGCTGCCTGGCTTGTTCTGTGAAAGTATTTATTTCTCTAGTCAAGAGCTTGATGGGGGATGAAGACGAGATTTTGTCTTCCCAAAAAGAGGTAGAGACAGAGAGAACTGTCAATAACAATCTTTATCAGGAGGAGCTGATGCTTCGAGAAGACACTTTCGTTAGATAGGAGATGTGGGGGAAAACAAATATCCTGGTTGGTGCTTAGGGACAAACAAAAATGCTAGAAGGTATTTTTCTCAAATGTCCCTTTCTTGAAGATTACAGCGAGCTTCTGGGAATGTTTGGTGCCCTCTCCATATGGCACAACCCAGAGTACTTTGAGGGGATGGTTATGGAAGCATTTCAGAGTTTGCTGGCACACACAGTTGCAGGCCTGTCCTCCAACTTCCAGGGATTTTGAGCACTGGGAAACATAGCAACATATAGCAGGAGCCTGGAGCCTTGTGAGCACAACACTCTCATTAGCTGCACCAGAAACTGGATCCACTCCCCTCTCCCTATCCCACCAGCATTCTTCCTTCTACTTTGAGACTGTCCTGTTCTGCAAAGAGTCTAGGTGATTTTTAGGGGGAGGGAGGCTCAATTTCTCTCATTTCCCTTCTACCCACACAAGCCAAGCTCCTTTCCCTCATTCCTTCTGAAGAACATGTGCTAAACACTTCCCAAGTGGCCTCTTGCCTGCTTCTTGCATGTTTTGGGGAGAAACCGAGCCTAAATCGGGGGCAGCAAGCTGTGACCTATGGACCAAATCCCACTGTTGCCTATTTTTGTAAGCAAAGTTTTATTGGAGCAGAGCCACACCCATTGACTTACATACAGTCTATGGCTGCTTTCTAGCTGCAAATTGCTTCCCTCTGCCTCACTACCAGATTTTATGAAGAAACCCACATATTATCGGTTGCACGGCTATTTGCTATTTTGTAAATTTGTTAGGGGATGAGGTTGAAACATCGAAAATTTAAGTCCAAATCGACATAATAAAGGACACTTTTCAAAAAGGTTTCCGCGTGAGCCTCTCATCTAAAATCTCGGAAGACTTCACGAGTAGTTACTATTTACTCTTCAATGGCTCCCTCGGGGACCGTAATGGAGTGTGGCTGCTTTAAGAGTCCCTTTAAGTTGTGTAATATTTTTCCCGGTTCTTCCTGGCTAACACAAGCGCTTCACCAGTATTTGGGGGGGGGGGGGAATGTTGTGTATCAATTTCTCTCTTTTAGATTGGCATTGACCTAAATGAGTATTTCAGGCACAGCCTGGGTTCCAAAGACTGTGGTTTATGCTACTGGGCATAGTTAAAAGAAAGAAGAAACAACCCTCAAGGACAAAGTCAAAGCAAAATAGAATTTAATTCATAATCTCCTTGTAGGAATTGAGGGGCTCAGGAACACAAGACACTAAGCCCAGTGTCAGCTACAGGGATGGTGGTTCCATGTTCAGCTTTGCTTTAACAAGCAAGTTGGACATCTTTGCATCCTATCAACCAACCATCACATGTGAGAATGACCATGAGTAAGCCTCTGGATGAGGAGCTGCATCCTGGCCTCCAAAGAGTGTAGGATGAAGACGGAAACTTCGCATTTATATTTCTTTTAAATCTCATCCTGTTACACTATTCTTGGCATTTGCTTTATAATGTACATTTTATGTCATTCAGCAATGCATGAAAGGATGATGAATGAGCACGTGCTCAACAATTTTTTTAACAAAGGGGCGTGTGGACAAAATTCACCATTTTGCATTTCTTATCTCAGCATTTGATCAGCACTAGACTCTCAGGGGTCACAAACTGTAATGCCCCAGGGGGCCAGTGACTAAGTGGAGACACGTGCCCCATCTAGAAGGAGCAGCTGCTGTTCCGATCACCCGTTTTCTGGCCCACTGTCACCATGTGCAAACAAGGACTCCGCTTGACCCGATCTTTAGATTTTTTTCAAGAGAAACTGAAAAGCTCAAAAGCTCATTTTCATGTAAAAATTCATGATGTATGTGTGAAATCTCACCAGATTTAAATTTCGGAGACTTAGGCAGTGCCATGCTGCTCAAAGAACTCTACATGTGTTGGCCAGATTTGGCCCTTGGCCCTTCAGATTGCAACCTCTCCCTGGGTGTTATACCCCCAAATGTCCATGGTTAAATAAACTTGCAAAACACAACAGAATGGGGTCCTTCTTAGATATTCTTAATGAAGGTCGGTATATTAAATGTTCTCAGAAGTCATGCAAGCATGAAACCTGTTTAGGTATTTTAAAACCATGGTACCCCCAAATCATTAGCCTGTAAACCACTGTTCCCCCAAATCACCGGCCTGTGGACCCTCCTCGTTCCCACATTACAACAACCTGCAGGGATGGAGTTGCTAAGAATATACCCTGGGCTATAACTGAGCTAGGCAGGTCTTGCTACTATTACCCTCATTTTATACATGAAAACAATGGAGTCTGTGAAAGGCTAAGAAAATTGTTCAGGGTCATATTGCTAGTGAGGGACAGACTGTGGGTCAGACTTTAAAGCTAAAACTGTTTCTACTACATTTCACAGTGCAAGCTCCTCCCTACCCTGAAAAAGCCTGTGGATTTTGTTTTCTCTATAACTGGCACAGTAACAACTTCAGGATTCAGGATCTGTTCTTTGGTAGAATTGTTTAAGAAGAAAACCCACATCCTCTAAAAATATATCAATGACCCTGGTTCTATAAGTGGCATGGGGGCAGGGGTCTCAGTTTCTAGCATCACCTCCCCTGGGGAGGCTTTGTGGCTCCTCTCTTCTCCCACCCTGCTTTGCCCTGCCCTGGGCATTCTAAAACAGTTCCTCCTGCCCTCCCCACTCTCACCCTCTCTGGACCTCATCACCTTTCTCTCCACCCAACGAAGGCCCTGATTCAGCAGGCCTTGCCCAGCTCCCTCTGCAGACACCCAAGTGGGAGCCAGAGGGAGGGGTAGGTCAGGGCCTGGGATGAACAGGGAGGTCTGGGAGGTCCTGCTCTGTAGGGCGGGGGTTTGGAAGCAGGCTGGGCTGGCTGGGGTGCGGTCAGGGCTGAGAAGGGGTGAGGGAGGCCCGAATTATGGCCTGGCCCCTGTGAACACCATTTGGACACCAGATGCAGAATGAGGGCTGCCATTTGGACAGCCTTGAGCCAAAAACCCCATTCCCAGGAGTGAGGTATCCACCCCTGCTATGTCTTAAACATCCCCAGGGAGGCTTCTTCATCTCAAAAGGGGAATTCACCCCTCCCTTGGCAATCACTCCCAGGCTTAACTAACCAGCCTTAATGGGAGAGAGTTCATCCTCTGCTTCCAGAGAAACTCTTCCTGCTATGTTTCTTCTCAGAGTCTCTCCAGAGGCCCTGAGGGATGGGAGTCCCCGCCCTCCACATGTTAACCTTTGATAAACTTCAGGGCAACAGAGAGAGTAGCTGAGAGCATGAGACAGAACTGGGTTTGAGTCTCAGAGCATTAACTAGCTGTGTGACCTTCGGCAAGTTACTTAACATTTCTGTATAGTTTCTTCTATATAATGGGGTAAAAACACGATACCTTCAAGAGAAAAGAAAGCATACAACCATACAAAATCTTGCACATCAATATCCAGAGTGACATTTATAATAACCCCAAAGTAGAAACAACTCAAAGGCCTATTTTGGATAAACGAATGGACTATTAGACAGTCAGAGAAAGGAATGAAGTATTGGTAGCTCTAAGATGGGTTAACCTTGAACGCATTATGCTCAGTGTAAGAAGCTAGTTATAAAAGACCACATACGGCATGATTCCATTTATATGAAATGTTCAGAATAGGCAAATCCACAGAGACTGAAAGTAGTTAGTAGTTGCTTAGGCTTGGGGGGAGAGGGGAATGAAGAATGACTGCTGATGGGTATGGAATTTCCTTTTGGGGTGATGAAATGTTCTAATGTCGACTGTGGTTATGGTTGCAAACTGAATATAATAAAAACCACTGAGTTATATACTTTAGGTGGGTGAATTGTATGGTATGGGAATTATATCTCAATAAAACAGTAATTTTAAAAAAGGAGGAAAAAACCCCACAGAATCTACATCATAGGGTTATTGTTCAAATTACTGTTCAAATTAGCCTGTAAAATGTTTATCACAGTGCCTGGTAAGCCATCAGTAAATATTATCTTTGATAATAATAATAATAATATATGGTTACATTTATATCATAGAGTATCACATAAGCATTATGATACAGAATATTATATGTAACTAAACATTAAATATAAATTACATTAAAATAATTATAAAATTATTATTTTCACTCTGTCTCCTCTTCCTCTTAAAAACCTTATGATTTTGGAGTGGTCCTCCAGTTTTTTAAACATTATTAAAATTATTTTTGCACATTATGAATATTATGTTTCATAACATCTATAACATATTATCATAACTGTATCTAAAAGATGATTACTATATATTTTCATATATAAGAATACATTATTTCATGCTATATGAAGGTCTATAATACATGATACTGTATTTGATGATTATTAAGAAATATTATATTAGTAGTAGCATTCACCCTGTGACTTCTCTTCTTCTCTAACATTTCTGAATTTGGACCGGTTTCCCCAGTTCTTTGAAACGTTTCCTGGCCTCTTATACATTTGGAGAGAAAACAGCTCTGAGTTCGGAGAAATTAAATTACAACCCTGACTCTCATTCAACTGCCTCCTGTAGCTGTAACCCTAAAACAGGAAAAAGGCACCACGCTCCTGCAGCTGGAAGAGCGGCCGGACCGGCCAGGGCGACCTGCGGGGGGGCTCGGGGACTCACGCGTCGCGTCCCAATCCCCGTGCGCCCCCGCCACCCCCCCACCTGCTCCCTGCGGCTCGGGTCCCGGGGTGGCCAGCGGCGCTCTCCGAGCCCACCGGGGAGGGGGGAACGCGGAGGGGGGGGGAAGGGGTGCTGCCAAGCAGGTGTCCCATTTGCATTCCAGTGGCAAAGGGGCGCGCCCACTGGATCGGACAACAAAGACACCATTGAAGCAGGTGTCCCATTTGCATTCCAGTGGCAAAGGGGCGCGCCCACTGGATCGGACAACAAAGACACCATTGAAGCAGGTGTCCCATTTGCATTCCAGTGGCAAAGGGGCGCGCCCACTGGATCGGACAACAAAGACACCATTGAAGCAGGTGTCCCATTTGCATTCCAGTGGCAAAGGGGCGCGCCCACTGGATCGGACAACAAAGACACCATTGAAGCAGGTGTCCCATTTGCATTCCAGTGGCAAAGGGGCGCGCCCACTGGATCGGACAACAAAGACACCATTGAAGCCAGGGCTCCGCCTTCCGCAGCCCAGCGGGGACCGAGGGCGGTCTCCCCGGGAGGTGTTCGCTGCCCGCCGTCCCCACCCAGAGCTCGGCCCGATTCGGTCATGGGTGACCGCGGGACTTCTGAGAAACGCCAGCTGGGCCCAGTTGCTGCAACTTTAGGACCGTTTCCCACAGAGAGCGCCGAGGCCCTTTGAAAGGCTGGGACAACAGCACCTCCTTCCCGCTCACCCACAGTCCCAGCCACTCTGCAGAGTTTTCGGGGACACAACTACAAGCACACGCTGCGGGAGAAATGATGGCCAGACCTCAAATGCCCCAGCCATCTCTCCGTTTCCCTGAAGCCCTGCAGACCAGAGACCTGAACATGGCTGATTTTTCACACTTGCTGGGCAAACTTCTCTGTTAACGTGGTCATTTCAACGGTATCAATGAACTCAATGGGGAGGGAGGGGGCGGGGGGGATGAGGAACAACCTTATTTTGCAGATATCTTTGAGGTGCTTGGAGGTTGTGAATGACATGGTAGCAACTTTCTTAGAATTCTTTCTTATTTCTTATCAACTTTTGTATAATTGTGTGTATATATATATATATATATATATATATATATATATATATTACACACATATTTAAAAGTGCTTCAGAGGGGCGCCTGGGTGGCTCAGTTGGTTAAGCGACTGCCTTCGGCTCAGGTCATGATCCTGGAGTCCCGGGATCGAGTCCCGCATCGGGCTCCCTGCTCGGCGGGGAGTCTGCTTCTCCCTCTGACCCTCCTCCCTCTCATGCTCTCTGTCTCTCATTCTCTCTCTCTCAAATAAATAAATAAAATCTTTAAAAAATAAAAAAATAAAAGTGCTTCAGAGAGAAAAAGGAATATATTTATGAAAGTTTCCTCCCCCCGTGGAAAAACTGCTGGAAGCAAAGTCATTTAGAGGAAAAAGCCTAGCAAATTGGAATCACAGAGTATGGGAGCCGGACTCCCTGGCTATTATAAGGGCCTGAGGTAGTCATGCTGCTTCTGTGTGGCTGAGGAAAAGACCCTCACCAGCCTGTGCCCTGGGGCACAGGGCTGCCTAGCGGATGGTGGGGCTGCACTTATTTTTCACTCTGGCCCCCCTTGGCTGGGACATCCTTGAGGAAGGTGCAGTCTGCCCAGCCATTCGTGGGCGCTCTGGATATGTTCACCCCTGCCCCGCTCCCTGCTTAATTCTAAAAATGGAAGCTCAGAGATATAAACTGACTTCTGTCTGAAGTCACACAGCCAGTCACAAAGCTCTTCATGGTGAATGGAGCCCTAACAGCCCTTGCAGGTGCCCCCTTGAACCCACCCAAGGGGCAGTGGTTGCCAAGTGCCTTCCAGACAGCAGCATCTGTGGAGTCCCAGGCTTTTCTGTGAGCCCTTGAGTTCTCGAAGGAAGAGAAAAAAAAGGGCCCTGAAAAGAGTCATTTCAATGTTCTTTCATGCAAGTCCTGTAGTTTTGAAAAGAGGAGAAATAAAAGGATTGGACAAAAATGGAGGGGGATTTAACAGAGAAAATTTGAAAAGAATGAAGGACAGCAAATATTGTGATCTGGACCTAGAGTGAGTATGGATGCAGTCCCTATATTTAGCATTCCTGGGGCATCACATCTGCTCATATAACTGAGCCAATTCAATTTTCATTTTGAGCCCCCATCCTGCCATACTGGTGGGAATCTTAATCTCAGTCATTTTTGGGATTCCTCACTCTTGAGTCCTAGGGCCTAATTCTGAGCTGAGGGGTGGTGTGGTGGGGGTACATTCTAGCTGTCAGACCACAGAAGTGGTCTTAGGAATACCACTGTCACCATTCAGAGGCTGGTTCTGAAGCTTGTGACTGCTTCAGCAGGAAGCTTGGGACATAGGGCTCATCCTCACTGATGCGTCAATATTCCACTGAGCCATTTTTCTCTGGGATTCCAGCCCCACAGCACTTTTACCTTCAGGTTTCTCCAAGCTCACTCTCCAAGCTACCCTCTTTGCCTCTGCCCTCGAAAAGATAGGTTCTCTCTGCTTTCTGCCTTGCCACAAAATTGTGTTGGGGGCTCAGAAGCCCAGAATCTGCTATCTGCTTAAATGAGGGAAAGAGTGAAAGAAAAATGTACATATACAGAAAAAAATGAATTAATATGTCAAACTGCTCTCCAGTCCCACAAACATAGGATTTTGCTCCTGGATGGGACTCTGAAATTATTCAACCTAAGCCCCTTATTTTGCAAACCAGGTCTTGATGTTTAGAGAGACAAAGTGATTGAGCTGGTTAGTGTAAAAGGCAGGATGTAAAAGGGGAAAATTTCATGTGAATCAGGTCACATTTTAAATGTGTTTCACAGCTCATACTTCAACGAATTCCAGGAAAAAGTGTGCATTGAAGTTAAAAATAAAAACCCTTTTGTTACGTGAATAAATATCCCCAATTTCTACCTGTTTTATGTACTTATATTTAGGCATACAGGGTTTTCTTAGAGTAGGTTCACTTGTTTCCTAAAGAATTATTTTTATTGGATGTTACGTGCTCTTTTTTAAAAAAATTTTTTGTTTTTTAAGATTTATTTATTTATTTTAGAGAGACAGCTTGTGTGCATGTGAGCTGGGGGAGGGGCAGGGGGAGAGGAAGAGAATCCCCAAGCCAATTCCCCACTGAGCGTGGACAGGGCTCCATCCCACAACCCTGAAATCGTGACCTGAGCCGAAATCAAGAGTTGGACTTTTAACCAACTGAGCCACCCAGGAGCTCTGATGTATCAGGTTCTTTGAGATTATCTTCCTCAATGATGTTACCATAAAGATGAATTTATGTCCTGGTAATGGCGCAAACAGATACTGAGACGTGCCTCCTTGCAGAATTGTTTTCTTTGGTGCTTTCACCACTCAGAGGCCAGCATCTATCAGTAATAAGATGAAAAACCCTATAAACCCCACTCCCTGTCCTAGGCTGGCATTTAATATCTGCATATTCTTCCATTAGTCACTTCAACTCACAAGTGTGGTGACGTGAATGGAAAACGTGGAAGTAGCAGTCAGCTTACAAGTTCTTGGGTGTGCGCTTCCTCTGAAGCCAAGATGGAATGGAAGGTGGGGGCCACAACAGGCCTGCAAGATCTGGGCCATGTCATTAATACCTCCAAGTAGACAGCTGTCCCTTTGTTTTGAGAGGGGAGAGGGATTCCAGGAGAGGGCTCCTGAAGCCAAGGGAAAAGGGAGTGTGGTAAGAGATGGTCCTAAGAACAAAATCATTGCTTTTTTTCTCAAGCTCCCAGCTGGGCGTGAGAACCAGGGCACATTCCAGGCAAGAACCTACTACAGAGCTATGGATACTTCTAGTGGACCTGATGTGACTGGCTTTCTCTTAGCTCAGAATTAGATATAGGAATAATGGATGCCAACTTTTATTCTGCATTTTATTTGGTCAGATACTAGTTAAAAGCATTATCTTTTTAGCCCCAACAATCATCCAATGAAATAGGCACTGTTACTGTTCCTAATTTATAAACAAGGAAGCTAAGCACAGAGAAGTTAAGTTACTTGCTTCAGGCCACAGAGCAGAGCCATTATTTGAACCCGAGACTCTCCGCCTACGCGGGTAGCAGCCTTTACTGCCACACTAGATCACCTCCTGCTGTGGAGTCCCTCCCCATGAGATGGTTCATCTGCACATTATGCCCTCCAGGGTGGAGGATCTCTGGCCCACAAATTCGGCTGATGATAGAGTCAATGTGAATTTGATACTATGTGGCCTTGGAGTTCAGACTTAACTACCTGTGCCAATTCGCTTGGAGCATTGCAAAAGAATATTTCTCAACTCCACTTAATAACAGTTTATGCCTTAAAAACACCTCCCAGGTATTCTTTTAATGACTTCCAACATTAACATATGAGATGATGTCCAGAAGGATGGAGGGAAACTGAAAATTCATGTGGAGAATGGAGAAAAGCACACTGATAACGTCTCCCTGGCATGGGTAAGGATGTAGTGTCCACCCGTATATAAATAAACATGAGACCCATGTGGGTCCCCCATTTACAGACCCATCTTCCCATTCGCTCATACATTCAGGGATTCAATAACTCTTTACCGAGTGCCCATGATGTGCCCAATACGTAAGAGACAGCAGAGCATGACAATTAAGAGATGGACTCAAGTCAGGCTGCTTGGGTTAGAAACCCAGATCTGCAATGTATCATGTGCATGACCCTGGGCACATTACTTCACCATTTAGTGCCTTAATTTTCTCATCTGTAAAATGGGGATAAGTCTCCCTATAACTCTCAAGTGCTTAATTCATAGTGAGGATTAAATGGGTTAATACTAAATGAGTTCATACATGTGAAATGCTTAAAGTGAACATGGCCCATTGTAAGCACTATTTAAGTCTTTCTTATCATTAGATCGTAGAGAATTTGCCCCATTGCTGAGGCCAAAATCCTAGGAGGATCCTTCATTTTCCTCTTTCTCTTGTCCATCCCCCCGCCCCCGAAAATAATCTATAAATAATAAGTCCTTAGATCTTTATCTCCAGAATTTATCTCCCCAAACTATCTACTTTTCTCAGCCTCCACTGCTACCTAGTCTATGCCACCATCCTCTCTTTCCTGGACCACTGCAATGGCCATGTTCTTACCTCTTTATCATCTGCTCTCCAAAGTAATCAGAATGATCTTGGTAAAACATAGATCATTCCACTGTGCCTCTGAAAACCCTACCATTGGTTTCTCACTGCAGACAGAAGAAAATGCAAACTTCGTACTCTGTCCTAGGTGAAGAGCTGCCAGAGAAAAAACAGGTCAAATGTGAATTTCAGGAGAACAATAGTTTTTTAGCATAAGTATGTCCCAAATATTGTCACTGAACATGGCCTGCGTTTTCATTTTCTTAGCTGCTAGCCACCAAATCTTAGGTAACTTCTTCCATGTTTACTCTTAATGGCAAAACTGTTTTTATTATATCCATACCACGTATCACTTTCTGAAATACTCTTGTTGATTATGGTTGCCCACTCACTAGAATTCAAGTGCTACAGGGATACAGACCTTGTCTTTCTGAGTCACTGCTGTATTTTCAGGACTTAGATCTGTGCCTGGCATATAATAGGTACACGACAAATACTTGTTGAATAAAGAGGACTAACACCCACCAATACTTTCCTAGTGCTTATGAGGCGCTTGGGTGCTCTGCTAATTACTTTTCATGATTTACCTCATTGAAACCTCAAAATAATGCTATGAGGTAGGTTCTATTATTACATCCACTCAATAAGGATGTGCTAAAAATAATAACAAAGGCTATGCTGGTTATAAAGCTATTTTAGCTCCACATCTATACTCTGCCAGTGATGCTGGGGCTGCACTCCACAAGCCCTGCTTCTGTTTTGCCTGCAGCTTCCTGTTAGGTTCGCGCATAGGGGAGGCTAGAGAAAGGAAGCAAGGAGGAGAGAGGAGACCTGCTCCTGCTGGTTTTGTCGCTGTTGCTGTAAACTGGGCAGCGCCCTTTGGTTCCAGCTGTAGGTCTTTCCATTTCCAGAACCAGGCTCATCAAACTCTTTCAGACACATCAGTACCAGCAAGCACCTGAACCTCAAAGGACTTAGCTCCAGTGGAGGGGGGCCTCCTCTCTCAAGCCTCTTATTTTCCCTCCTTCCCATTCCCTCTTACTCCACCCCCCCCATTTCTCTTAAGGGTTTCTATTAAGTTTTAATAACCCAATCTCTTTGTTCCCCTAACCTGTGGGATGGCAGCAAGCTTTCTGCTCTCGGTACCTCTGTGATACCCTAGTGTCCCTTTTGTGCTTTTTTGATTTCCTTATGCATGGTTAATAATCCTTTCTGATGAAATGCTTGAGATCTTGACTGATGCCAGAAACTGAGCGCACAGAATTAACAACCGTATTGACTGACAGCCAAGCAGCAGTACGATGCTTACACAATTAGCTTCAATAAAAGGAAGAAAGTTAGAAATGCCCCTGGAGAGGAACAGACAAGACGAAGACTGATTTGGCAGTGTCTATTTAAATCTATTATAATGATTCCCAGCAGGCAGGAACATATTGTAGGATCTTGGCAACTCCCACTTGGAGCTGGGCAGGGTCAATTCTTAGAAAAGTGATGTTGGATAGACAATCCAATAAATGTTATTCCCACCATTGTTTCGGATCCAACCCAAGAACAGCTTCCTCCACAGAACCTGCTGTGGCAGATACCCTCCGGTGCTCCTCAGGGCCCCAGAGCTCCTTACTCCTAGCCAGGATTCCATGATAGAGTGGAAAAGGCAGGATGGAACTCTCACGGCATTCCTCGGGGTGGAGGAGCTTATGACCCGTTCTGGCCAAAGAACTATAAGAAGAAATGGCTGGAGGAGGTATCTGGGGAAAAGTTTGTTCAGAGAGATGCCAAGAGACTGTGCCTCATTAAAAGCCCCGCCCCTCCCCCACCGCCCCGTTCTCTTTGCTGTCCTGGCTTCCTCCTGCTTCCTGCTTTCAAATGTGGCTGCCATACTGGACACTGATGTGACCAGCCCAAAGATGAAGGGTTATTGAGGAGGACAGGAAAAACCTATGTCCTTAATGACACTGTTGAGATGCTGAATCAGCGTAGGAAGAGCCAGCTTCAGACTTCTTGTTCAGAAAGTAAGACTTACGGCCCCCTGGGTGGCTCAGTTGGTTAAGCAACTGCCTTCGGCTCAGGTCATGATCCTGGAGTCCCTGGATCGAGTCCCGCGTCGGGCTCCCTGCTCAGCAGGGGGTCTGCTTCTCCCTCTGACCCTCTTCCCTCTCGTGCTCTCTGTCTCTCATTTTCTCTCAAATAAATAAATAAAATCTTAAAAAAAAAAAAAAAGGAGCCCTGGTAGAAAGTAAGACTTATGGTTTAGGTCACTGTTAGTTTTCTGTTTCTTGTATTTTAACACATTTTACCTGGTCCATCTTCTAATCTCCCAGCTGGAGGCAACTTTCCTTTCGGCTCATGAATCCTCCTTTTGAATTACCCTATCATTTTGTCTTAGAGTCTGTTTAACTTTCATATAGGAAAATGATTTATAAATGCATCTTCTTTCCCCTACCAGACTTCAAGCTATTAAGGCCAGGAACTCTAATTCACCTGGATACTTGATATTGCCTCCAGCAGAGCGCCTAACACATGGCAAATACTTAATAAAGGCATATGCATATCCTCTACCTCTACCTTATGCAGATGTAGGGTGATGTCTACAGCTTATATTTGCTGTTTAGGATTTGTACTGTCTGAGAAATCTTATTTAAAAGCCCCAACTCTGGATTCAGATGGAACTGGGTACCCACCTTGGCTCAGCTCCCTGTTAGCTAGGTGGCTCTGGGTAAATTCTTCTATCTCTACATTTTACCATGCTCCAAGTTCCCATTCAAATACCACCTTCCACATGAAGCAGTCTGTGCTCTTGCTCTCTCTCTCTCTCTCTCCCCAATTTGGAAGTATTATTTTCTTCTTCTTAACTCATCATTCCCTTTTCTGAAATATTGAATTTTTAAAAAGGATTTTATTTATTTATTTGAGAGAGAGAGAGCGCCAGCAAGGGGTGGAGAGGGACAGAGAAACAGACTCCCCAAGGCGCAGGAAGCCCGACACGGGGCCCGATTCCAGGACCCCAGGATCATAACCTGAGCTGAAGGCAGATGCTTAACTGGTTGAGCCACCCAGGTGCCCCTGAAATATTGAATTTTAAATTAATTTTTACATATGTGTCATCATTCTATCACACATGTTTCTGCTACTTGATGCTTTTCACTTAATGTGCTTTTTTAAATTAAGTATAGTCGACACACAATGTTTCAACGGTTTCAGGTGTACAACAGAGTGATTTGACAAGTCTATACGTTATGCTGTGCTTACCACAAATACAGCCACCATCTGTCACCATACAACGCTATGACAATAACGTTGACCATATTCCCTATGCTGTACCTTTTATCCCCATGACTTAGTCATTTCATAACTAGAAGTCTATATCTCCCACTTTAATGTGTTTTGAAGATCTTTTTAGTTCTACATATTTAGATCCACCTTATCATAGTACTTAATAGTATAGATCCATCAAGATATATTTAATTATCCCAATATTAATGAACCTTTGTGTTGTTTCCAGTTTCTGCACATTATATAAAATTCTACAATTAACGTACATGCTTTTTGCTATCCATGAGCAAGTATTTCTCTAGGGCAGACATCAAGATGTACACAGGTAGATAGATACACATTTAGAAATTTAGCAGGCTACACCAAATACCTTCTAATTAGGTAGTAACAGTTAATAGGAGTCAAAATCATTCAAGTGCTCTTTCTTTGACTTTGCTTATCTTCTCAGATTCTGGAACAAGAGCAGTTAGGGGCCCTTCAGCTGGTCCGAACAGTGTGTCGCCCTGCTTTGTTACCCATTCCCCACTGTCCCCCGAGGAGGGGGAAGAGCACAGGTCTCAGAGGCCACCAGCTGGCTCTGCCACATTCCAGCCATGTCACCGCCGAAGTGGTACCAGACCTCTCTGAGCTCTTGTTTCCTTATTTGTGAAACTGTATGAGAAGAGTTCTCATGTACTGAGGAGGCAGATAATGCTCAGCAACCTCTTCCCCTCATGACCTTCTTCTCCTTTTTCTGTCTTTCCCTGGCATTCTTCAGTCCTTGGAGGTCTATGGGGAGTTTGTTGTATTTATATTCCAAATAAGGAATGGTGCCATGAGTTTGAAATAAAGAGGAGCATTGATCTTCAGTAGAGAATTCCACCCTCTGAGACTGTTTGCTTGGACAACACGGGCGGATGTGTCCCATTCATCTCGGAGTCAGGCCAACATTCTGAGCAAATCCTACCCATCGTCAATCCCCAATTAATAATGGTTGAACAGATAAATCAGTTCTGCATTCACTGCAGCACTGTCATGATGACACTCTTCTGGGGACCAGGGGTTTCCAAAGAAATTAAAAGCCAAACCAATCCCTGTTTGCCATTTTGATGACATGATTGAGAACTGAGGCATTATCACTTCAATCTAGGGATGCAAATGTCGTCTCAACGAAACAAAAGAAAATTTCTGACATCAGTGTTAAAAAAGGGGGAGTGAAACTCAGCAGAATCCCTTGCAGTGCCAAGGAGGAAGCAACGTCCTCCATTTGTTAGAGAGGTCAGATGGAGGGATGAAACTGACCAGCAGCCTGAAAGCAGACAGAGTCCTTCAGAAATGCAAGAAGAAGAGAAGCTTCTCAGAGTCAGGCCCCATAGGAAGATCAAGTGAAAGAGGTCTGGATAAAGAAATGACTTTACAGCCCCTACAACTCTGTGGAAAACACAGCTGCTCCAGGAAGCACTGTGTTCAGGCAGATGAAATGCACAGATTTTTCTTGAGAAACATCATGACATTAAGAAAAAGACTCAACAGGGGCGCCTGAGTGGCTCAGTCGGTTAAGTGTCTGCGTTCGGCTCAGGTCATGATCCCAGGGTCCTGGGATTGAGCCCCGCATCGGGCTCCCTGCTCTGCAGGAAGCCTGCTTCTCCCTCTCCCACTCCCCCTGCTTATGTTCCCTCTCTTGCTGTGTCTCTGTCAAAAAAATAAATAAAATCTTTAAAAAAAAGAAAAAAAGAAAGACTCAACAATATTTCAACTAGGTGAAGACCGCTTGCACAGAGGTTGAAAAATTTAGCATGTTATGGAAAAACTCCCTGCTGGCATTTTAATAACCTCCATATTAAAAATGATAACTTCCTTCAAAGGGAAACCTTTTAATATACATTTTTAAAAAACCAAGGGTTAGAAAACTTTTCTTAAAAATGAGCAAGCCACCTCATAGGGTCAATTAAAACTGAGCTTACAGTTTGAGAAGCAACTAAATTCAATGATACTTTTATTCACTTATAATAATAACTGTAACATGATACATATAATATAAACATAATTTATGTAACATGTATAATAATTATAGATATATGTGATATATTATATAGAATATGAATATAACATGAAGTAATAAAAACAATTTAGTCTCATACTAATAATACCTAATAATAATTTATTTATTTATTTTTCTAATAATACTTAATACTTATAAAAGGCTTTCTATGTTCTGGGCCCTTAAGCATTAAAACAGGGAGGTGTTCTTAAGTTTATACAAAGAAGCCAAGACTGAGAAAGGTTGCTAACTTGCCCAAGGTCATGCACTTAGTAAAGGAAAAAGCTGGGATTTTTTTTTTTTTTTTTAAGATTTTACTTATTTATTTGTCAGAGAGAAAGAGAGATTGAGAGTGTGAGCAGGGGGAACAGCAGGCAGAGGGAGAAGCAGGCTCCCTGCTGAACAAGGAGTCCAATATGGGACTTGATCCCAGGATCTCCGGATCATGACCTGGGCCAAAAGCAGACGCTCAACCGACTGAGCCACCCAGGTGTCCCGAAGCTGGGATTTTAATCAGTGTGATGTGACTCCAGAATTCACGCTTTTAACTTTTGGATGTGAGGTTCTACTCTGGGCATTATGAGGCACACGACACATTAAGCTAACCTATGCTGAAACATGCTACATTTCGTTGGTGAGATCCACATAGATGTAAGCAACTCCAACACCAGGCAGAACAGGTAATGCACCAAGGAGAAATTCTGGTAGTAAGCAACAGAAACTGATCATCTGATTTATGCAGTAAAGGAAGTTACTGTAAAGATGTTGATAATATCACAGAATCACTGCAAAGACTGATAACTAGTATTAGAGACTAAGTGAGGCCATCTGAAAGCAAGATACTCATCAACGAATCTTCCTTCAACCAGATATAACTATGTTTAATATGAAAAGAAGAAAAAAGTTGAGAACGTAAGGATTAATCTTTCTTAGTTTGTTAAACACAGAATACCTAGCGTTAACCACACTGAGGATGGTTTCCAAGTTTCTTCACCTGTTTGTATAATGGAGAGTAAAAAAGATTTGTAAGGGTCTGGTTGATTTTCACAGGAGGGTGTTAAGAGGTTATATTTGGGATGTCTTATTAGTGTCGTGGAGCTGTCAGAATTTTCTGGATTTGGGGAGGAGGCAAAGCAAAGCATACATGAAAGGGACCATCATGCCCCACCCCGAGAATTTTAGTGCCTAAATAAGTCTCCATGACTTTAGTAAACATGTAAAAAATGTCTCCCAATATTTATGGTGATAAGTCATACACCAAATCTGTGATCTTTTTGAGACAAGAATTTTGTTTCTTTTCAGAGATCATTATGGCACCAGGACGACTGAGGCTCAGGAAACTTTAGCAGATGATCCAGGCAGAATGATGACATCGGGTAAATGATTCTCTCCTTGACTTTGAGTCTCTGCCACCCTGGCCATCATACATATTTTACGGACCTGCCAACAGTGCCTTCCTCTTTTTTTTGAAGAGTATAAAGATTAAATTCACTTCTCTTTCCCTGAGCGCACACAGATGGCTTATCTGCTCTGGGGTTTTGTGTTTTCAAGCCCCTACTTGTAACCTCTCAGAACTTATCTAAAAATAATCACCAAAGCTGCAAATCCAGATTTTCAGATCAGGAAATATTCTCTGATTTATGAACTGTACAAGTTGGATGTAACTGACAAAGCCTCGTCACTCATCACAGACTATTTCTCTCCAGCTTGCCTCTCTCCCTATCTCTCTGTGCATGGCTCAGAAACCCCATTTAAGATGAGATTACAACATAGCCTCTTTAACCTTAGCAGCTGGGCCATCAGCGCTGGCCTTTGGTTCTGAGACCAGTGAATGAGCCCCAATGCCTGCCTATACTGATCAACATGATGTTCTTCTGAACACAGAGATGCAGCCTGAATTGCTTTTGGTAAAATTCCATTCCAGGCAAACACCTGGATTCATGCCACTGATTGGACCTGTGCAGACATTTGTCTATCTTCTGAGAATTATTCTTCAAAATGCTGGAAGACATAAAGTTTTACGTATCTCCAAATCCAAAATGAAAAATGAGATCTGGTTTATGTGCTACAAATTGAAAAGGCCTGCTACCTCTCATACCTGTGGACCTCCTAATCAGAAGAATAGAATTTCCTTTTTTAGTTTAGAAATACCTTTTATAGCATTATTCACAATAGCCAAGATATGAAAACAACCTGTCTGTCAACAGATGGACAAAGACTATATATAAAAATATATATATAAAATATATAAAATGAATATCTTCATAAACTATATAGTTTATGAAGAATAGTTTTCCTTTTGCTTGATGACTTCACATTCTCTTTCCAAGTTTCCCAGTCAAAAGTATGACCAACTCAACTTGGAATAACTTCCTGCTCATGACAGGAAGAGAAAAAAGTCCCTTTGCTTTTCCAGTGGTAGGAGGAGATAAATCTCCCAAGGAAAGAAAAAAATCCTCTGGCTACACTTCCCTGACTCGAGAAAGAGCATAACTAGGACACAGGTCTTTTGACTTTGAATCCATTACATATGCTGGACTTGCAAATCTAACTGTCCACAGTAGCCAGATGGGTAATATAAAAATGAAGCAGGCCATATTTGTCTTATAATGGCACCTGTGGCCGCGATAGTTCCTGCTCCCCAAATATTCTGTGTGCTCCCCTACAGTTAGCTTAGGACCCTGTGACTATTTCTGACCAATGGACCATGCATGGAAGCAACTGTCTCACTTCTCGGTCAGGGCTGTTGACAGCAAGGGCACACCTCCATTTCTCTCTTCCTTCACTGCTGTGACTTTAGATTTCAAGTCTCCCGTGTAAGAGGAAGATAGTCCCCGATCTACATTCTATAGTATGCAAGGTAGGAAGAAATCTATTGTTAAGCCACTGAGATTCTTCAAGTTTTGTCCAGAGCGGCAGCTAATATTAATTACCCAAATGTGACATCTTAAACTGTCTACTTGAACACAGATATGCTTTGTTTCTCGAACATTCCCAGTGAAACATGTTGTCTCCTGTTTTTCTTAAAAAAATCTAATGCTTGCAAACCATACATTAGATATGGAGTCCATATCCAAAATACATAAAGAACTCCTGTAACTTGGGGCACGTGGTTGGTTCAGTCCGTTAAGACCCCGACTCCTGATTTCAGCTCAGGTCATGACCTCAGGGTCGTGAGATTGAGTCCCGAGTTGGGCTCCTCACTGGGCATGGAGCCTGCTTCAGATTTCCTCTCTCCCTCTGCCCTTCCCCCCACTCATGCTCTATCTTTCTCTAAAATAAATAAATAAAATCTTTTAAGAAAAGAACTCATATAAAATGACAACAATAACAAATTCTATTAAAAAATGGACAGAGGAACTAAACAGACATTTTTCCAAAGGAGACATCCAGATGGTACACAGAAAGATGCTCAACATCGCTCATCATCACGGAAATGCAAATCAAAACCACAATGCGATAGCACCTCACACTTGTTAGAATGTCTATCATTAAGAAGACAAGAGATAACAGCTGTTGGTCAGGTTGGAGAAAAGGGAACCCTCGTGCACCATTGGTGGGAATGTAAATTGGTCCAGCCACTATGGAAAACAGTATGGAGGTTCCTCAAAAAATTAAAAATAGAACTACCATATGATCCAGCATTCCACTTCTGGGTATATATTTCCAAAGGAAAATGAAAACAGGTTATTGAAGAGATACCTGCACCCCCATGTTTATTATAGCATTATTCACAATAGCCAAGATATGAAAACAACCTGTCTGTCAACAGATGGACAAAGACTATATATAAAAATATATATATAAAATATATAAAATGAATATCTTCATAAACTATATATATATATATATATATAGAGAGAGAGAGAGAGAGAGAGAGAGAGAGAATGAAATATTATTCAGCCTCAAGAAAGAAGCAAATCGTGCTGTTTGCTGCAATATGGACAGACTTCGAGGTCATTGTGCTAAGTGAGATTAGGCAGGCAGAGAGAGGGAAACTCTGTATGCTATCACTTATATGTGGGATCTAAAACAGCCTGGCTCACAAAAATGGAGAGTGGAATGGTGGTTACCAGGGGCTTGGGGGGGGAGGGGGTGGTGGGGAACTGGGGGATGTTAAAGGTACAGACTTGCAACCAGTAGATAAGTAAGTCCTGGAGCTCTAACACACAGCACGGTGACTGCAGTAGACAGTATTGTATTATAAACCTCAAATTGGCTAAGAGACTAGATCTTAATTACTGTCACCACAAAAAAGAAATGATAATTACCTGACATGATAGAGGTGTTACCTAATACTATGGTGGTAACCATACTGCAATATATAAATGTATCAACTCAGCACACTGTAACCTTCAGCTCACAAATGTTACATATAAATAACATCTAATTGTAAAAGTTAAAAAAGACTAATAATGTTAGTGGTTAAAATTTATTTTGTCATCACAATGTTCCTTTATTATTCCCAGTTTACAGAAGAGAAGACTGAGGCACAGGGAAGCTAGGCAACTGGCCAAAGGTCACATACAAGTGGAAGTAGAGTTGATAGATTTGACAAATAAAAATACATGGGACATACACCAAAAATAATTCAATGTTTATCTGAAATACAGGTGTAATTGGCTTTCCTATTTTTTTTTTTTTAATCTGGCAAGCCTAAGTAAAGAGGACCTACCAGAATTTGACCCTAGACAGTCTGACTCTGAATCCATGAGCTTCACCATATGCTCCTCTATTTCCCAGGCTAGTTTCAGTTTTATACTTTTATTAAATACATGGGTGAAAGCAGTATTCATGTTCCTCTCAACTCTATTTTTGACAGCAAACCAATACAAGTGGAATAAGTAAAATGACAAGTGGCCAATGATCAGTCACACGCCAGGGAGTAGTGGGGTCTATGACAAATTTGAGACCATATGTTTCATCTAAAGAGAGCAGTTTCTACTAAGTGTTGTACATTATTGCCTTGTGGGCATGCAGGCCTCCCTAAAAGAAACCAGAAAGCTAGATTTTTTTTTTTTTTGGTGATGTTCTCCTGTTTAAGATGTTGGCAACTCAATTAGAATAATTATAATCTTGCCTGGGTCCACATAGTTCAAGCCACACAGAACAGGTCTATAGGCTGGAATCAAGCTCTGGGTCACTGGGTATGATCTCTACATTCACAGGAAGAATCTTCCTAACCCACTGTTGGATTAGGTTGCTGGGAACTCTCACCCTCTATATTGCCTTCTCCCCTTGGAGGAACTAGTTTTAGGACTATACTATAATTATTAGGTGTATATTTAACTGAAGCCAACAGTTCAGTTATTGAGCTTCTGCTAGGGCAAGGCATTGTGCTAAGTACTACAGGGCTGTAGATATGAGCAAGTTACATGCCCATCTTCCCTCCTATCCACAAATCCTAATAAGATAAGTAAGTAGAATACCAGGGTAGATTGGGGGTAAGCCATGAAGAGAGAGACAGACCCAGCATGAAGTGTATTTGAACAAAAGAGAGGCACCTGATTGAGTCAACTTGGAATAATTTCATAAAGAAGATCTCATTTTGAAAGACTATGAACAGGCAGGATTTCAGTAAACTTCAAGAGAGTTAAAAAAAAGGAGGGGGGTAATAGTATAGATGAGGGCATGGACTTGAGAAAGTTTTCAGTTTGGCTGAAGCAGGAAATGGTTCTAGAATTTGGAGTGAGATCAGGTTGGAAGAGGAGATTGAGGACCAGGCAAAGGAAGATTAAAATCAAAATTGCACACTCTCATGATATATTTTGACACCTTCTATCAGCCCCGTACTCTGTATAATCCAAGGCGCTCACTGCTATTTTTCCATTTGTCCACATGGATAGCATAGCTGCTCTGTATCTGGGAACACGGAGAGAGGTTGATTAGTTTCCTCAAGGTAACAGAGAAAATCAGAAAGGTAAGATCAACAAAGAAATCATCTAAGTTATGGGTTGGCAAACTTCCTGTCAAGCGCTAGATAGCAAATACTTTCAGCTTTGTGGGTCATTCTGTTTTTGTTGCAACTGCTTAACTCTGCCATTGCTGGGTGAAATAGACATATCCAAACAGATGGGTGTGGCTGTGTGTCAATAAAACTTTATTCATAAAAACAGGCAGCAGGCTGGATTGGGTCATGGCTATAGTTTGCTGACACCTGGCCTAAACTTTTTTTTTTAAAGATTTTTATTTATTTATTTGGGAGAGAGAGAGGGTGAGAGAGAGCGAGAGCACAAGAGAGGACAGGGTCAGAGGGAGAAGCAGACTCCCCACTGAGCAGGGAGTAAATTTTTTCATAATACAGTTTCATAGGTACTTGGGAATGCTTGCTGACTAAAGAAAGTCATGTTCCCTGAAACGTAATATATACATCAACAACAACCTAACACAATGCATTTGTTCTTCTGGGAGGCAGGCTTTCTATTGCCTTCCCCTCCAACCATACTCAATTGCATCAAGTCCCACTGATGATTTTTAAACATCTTTCTCCACATCCACTGTCACCACTATCACTTCTCATCTGAACGATTCTAGCAGATGCTTAGTGTCCACACATATCCACCCCTGTCGCCATCTAATTCAGCCTCAACATGGAAGCCCAATCTAAGAGCAGATACCCTCTGCTTAAAACTCAAAGGAATACCCCCTTATTTTGAGTAAAAGCTAAGCTTTTACTAATCCAGAGGCCCTTGAAAACTCTCATCTCATCTGTGACAACCCCATATCCTTTTCACGCCACATTCTTTGCTTTCTTCTCAGATGAGATGATGCTTTCTTGCCACAGGGCCTTTGCACAGTCAGTCTCCTCTTTTTCTTTCTTTTTTTTTTTTTAAAGATTTTATTTATTTATTTGAGAGAGAGAGAATGAGAGACAGAGAGCACGAGAAGGAAGAGGGCAGAGGGAGAAGCAGACCCCCCTGCTGAGCAGGGAGCCCGATGCGGGACTCGATCCCAGGACTCCAGGATCATGACCTGAGCCAAAGGCAGTCGCTTAACCAACTGAGCCACCCAGGCGCCCAGTCTCCTCTTTTTCATTCCCCTTTCCTCCATTTGTCTAGTTCAAAGCTCTGTGTTCAGAGTTCAATTTCCTGGCTCTCTAAACTGCTCTTTCACACCAACCTCAGAGTACTTCATACATTTATAATCAAGTAATGAATTACCTGATTCACAGTTTAATGCCTGTTTTCCTGCTGCTTCTACTCACCCATGTATATCTTAGTACTCAGCACAAGTGTCCTTCAAGTAGCAGGTATTCTATAAGTACCTGCTGAATGAATGTATGCCACGACAGCATCTTACGTGTGGAAAGGACCTTAGAGACTTAATTAATTGAATCTTCTGTTCGAAACAACATTCTCAATAATTTTGGGGGATTTCTAAGGTGCTGGGCTTGTCCTTTGGCTTCAGCAATCTAAAGCAGCCCGATTTTTTCTAATGTTGAACTCTTTACAGGAACCTTTGTGAAAAATGCCAATCACAAGCCCCCAGATGTGTTCAGGCTTATGTAACTGTGGATATCTCCCCTACAGCTAGTGATTTTTTTCTCCCTGCATCTTCCACTTCTCATAATTTTCCAATTTTTCTATAACGATCATGTGTCACTCTGAAAATGAGTAAAAGTTCTACAAAGTCATCTTGAATTTACATACTGCTTTTCCTTCCAAACACAGCAATGTTATTAAAACATTATATAACATTTACTTATGAATATTTCAAGCATAAAAGAACAGAGTGAAAATAAAATTGCATCCACCCCTCAAGCCTGGTCCTTTTAAAATGTCTGGTTTGGGGTTGATCCTTACGTAATAAAGGAGCAGAAGTTATGTTCCATTCCATTTTACAGATGGATTCATAAGCCAAGAGAGTGTAGATGAATGTTCATGGTGATAGAGTTGGAAAAGGAAGGAACTGCGATCATGTTCAACAGAACTGCAGCACCCACAGACTGTATCATCTTGTACTTTCCCAGACTCTGTGATACACAAAGAGTAGCTCTAATTTTCCAGTTTTAGTATTGCTAAAAAGTGGTGAAAATTCAAGTCCTCCTGAGGGCATACTATAAATTGACCTTGAACCGAGAGCAATCTCTTCTCTTGTGATAGCAGCAAATACAGTGATTCTCTGGAAGGAGGCCACTGTTCCTTCTAACTCACGAATGCAAAACGTGAAACAGAAGCAAAGCACATGGCTTTCTCTGGACGTCAAGATGGCATTTTAAGTAGGCAACCTGCAGGCCAATTAGACTTTTGTGGATTTCTGGGTGTTTAGTTGTATATAGAAGGAAAACTTCAACCCTAATTTTAAATTTCAGATATTAACATTACCGAAAGTGAACTAAAGGACAAAGGGAATACTCTATATTGGAGATCTATGTGCTCTCTTTCTGTCATCTTTTTCTCCTTATCAAGAGAGTAGGGCCAGTTTCTGAGAGGCTAGTTAGGGTATCTTGCAACCGTGTCTGAGGTGCTGAGAAGTCAAGACAACCTTCAGAGTATAAGAGAAACTTGTTGATAAGTGGTAAGTACAATTATTTTCAACTGTACAATTTCTCCCCATTGGAGTTGTATTAACTCTAGCTAAACACGCTAGTGCCACCTATTGGAAAAACATTTTAATAAAAATAAAGTTGCAGGCTTAAAGTCTGCAATATTGGAAAAATGTCTCCCTGGACGGCAATTTCCCGTCAGAGGAAAACAACGTTAAGCCAGCTCGCCAAAGGCAACTTACGTGAGCTCTAGGTATTTTGTTTTGGGGGGGGGGAGCTTTCATTTTTCAACCTGATAGCAAAGAAGATATTAAATAATAATGAACTAGGGAGCCAACAAATTCCATAGTTCAAGAATGTGCTTTTCTGCCAGTTGTCTCATGGGCACTCTCAATGGGGGCTGATTGAGTTTTCTGGGATGTAATAACCAAGGGCCCTTCCCGTGGGCTAGAGGGGCTTTCTTTTTTGAGCTCTGTTATAGAAGGACCCAGATATCTACAGAAGAGGCAGGAATGGCCATATCTACCTTCTACCACAAAGGAAGAAGCACTCTTGTCCCCCTCCTCCCTT